TTGTGTGAGGGCATGTGAAGTTAGGGGGGATTCATTCTTTCCTATTTCAGGTGACAACTTAAAAGCCAAATCATGACAGCAGAACTGACAGAGTTTTGTGAAAGGCATGACGTAAGCATAACAAGTCATTACTTTTCACTTTTTACATGCTTATTCCTGTTCCCTTATTAATGGTGAGCAAGTAATCTAGATCAGTATAGGATTTTTAAGTAGGGCTTTCTGTTCTGTCCAACAGGTTGGAGAAAGTAATCTGTATTTTGTGTGTGTTAATCTTCTGGTAAACTCCAAAAATAGATGCTAACTGAACGTTGTACTTAACAATTTCTTTCTAGCTTAGCTGCCGATGCAGGGTGACTAACACTGGGCAAACTCACGCCAGATGTATCACCACCTCTGTGTGGGCACTACTAGGGCTGAACAGGACGCGTGATGCCTGGGCACGGGCAGCTTTGTTTGGGTAGACTGCTGCTGACCTAGAGCCCTGGCAGTGTGTAATGGTTGTGGCTGTGTTGAAGCCATTGTATTCGGTAGCAATGCTTAGGGGGAGAGAGATTGTTTAATATCCACATCTTTTTAAATATCAGTCTTCTAAATGTTTAGCATAATGATTTAAAAGTTTAAAACTTGACAGAGAAGGTGGCAGGAAGGTTAAGTGTTTGCTAGTTCTTAAACTTGGCATGGTTTTGTTCTAATCCTTGTTTTTTACATGGATTATAACGGGTGAGTGTGCACAAGCGTGTATAAGCTTATGAGAAAGTTTTGGTGTCTACACAAGTTTTATTAAGTGACTGAGTTGAAATCCCTGCATACTTAGGTGTAGCTTTTTCACTTTTGAGTGTTGGGTTGTCTTACGGCTGAGGTACAGTATTGCAGCCCTTGATAGGGAGTAATTACCTTAATGGTTGTAGTATTAGAAATTAGGGCTTTCAATTACAGAACTTTTTTTTTTTCTTATGAGTTTTAAGAATGTGCTTTTGGGTTTGTACTGTGCATTGAATAACTAAGGAGAGCTTTGCACTTCAGTTTGAAGTGACTATCAATAGGACCAAATACATGTCAGGCATAAGGTTGTACTAGTTTGGCTGAAGTCATTTGAAATCTGATTATTACTGTTGTTTTTTTTTCCCACACTGGTATATATATAGTTTTTGTAGAAACAGAGGTAGCTAGCAGTTGAGCTCTGACTAGGTATTGGTATATCATAAACCATGGCATCTTGGAAATTTAATTGTGTTGAATACAACAATTTTAGATTCCTGCAAAGTCAGTGTTTAATCAAACTAGTAGGCTATGTAAGCAGCGATGGAAATAACCAAATTGATCTCTGAAATGCCTGTCTGATAGGGACTGCAAAATCAAAAGCTGAAGGTTCAGAGCCTGTATTCTACAGGCTCTGAGATAACACCTTGAGCAGATACTTGTTTTGGATTCACTTGTAGGTCTTACAGTGGTTTCCTACTTAAAGCTATCATTTGATTTTCTGTTTACTGATAACTTGCCCAGCTAAAATGGTGAAGACCCATATTAGATTCTCTTAATGGTAGTCTTAATTATTTCTTTCCAAATAATTTTTAATAGAATAACTAGGAGAAATTACTTTTCTGGATTTATAGTACTGTGCCCTAGCCCTGCACAGGATTTTCAGAACCCTGGAAAAAATCTTTAGGAATGAAGAAGCTCTCTTCTGTTCCTGTCTGGTGCCTTGCCCCTCGTATTTTGCCTTGTCAGCTAAGCTAACAGCACTGTTGGCAGTGACTTGGTCCAAATCACCTATCACTGGCTGAATCAAGTATTGCTGTGATTCAGAAATCCAGGTTCTCTTACCTTGACGCCTGGCAGATTGTTGTCTTAGGAAGCCAAAAGTTACTCTGCAGACCACAATCATAAACAATGCGAGGTAAGAGTTAGATCCTGGAGGATGGCCCTGGTAATAGCATGCTACTATGAGCCAACTGTCAAGTTGCGTACATAACACTGAGTGATAAATTTTGAAGATTGGGAATCCGTGTCCAGGCTCAGAGAACTGACTGTATTGAGTGAGGATTCAGATTTGATATGCTTTCCTGGAATTTGTCTTAAATTATTTACTTCGAAAATGAGCAGTATTTGCATCTTATTTTCAGGCAAATCTAAAGCCATCTCTTTTTCTATAGTTCACACTGTGGCTAGAAGACTATGCAGCATGATGCTGGAGGTTGATGTTCATATACCTTTCAGGATTTTAGAGATTGTTTCAGTTGTTTTAAAATGTAGAATACAACCTCAACTCTCTTAGTGAATCGGGAAACACAGGGTTCACTTTAAGTTTGTATTTATTGTGAGTCTTTAGCTGTTAGATTGTGTTTAAACAAATGGATTGTAAGTACTGGGAGAAAAGGAGGAGAGAACTGTGTTTTGCTTACTCATTTTGTGCCATCAATTCAAATCAAACTTCTTAATCACGTGTTATTTTGCGTTAATAAAACAACACTTTAAAGTTTCTGCGTAAAGAGAGTAGCTGAGAGATGCTATCAGTACAAAGGGAGATTAAAAATGATATATTTTTAAAAGGTAAGGGTAGTGTCATTGCCTTGCTTAAGCTGTTGCCTTCTTCAAAAAGAGAGTGAAGCTGTTTCTGGATAGTGCAAGAATTGGTTGTAATGTGCGATTTGGCTGACAGCAGGTGCCCTGTGACGCTTTCAGGTTGTCTCCTGAGGAGATGGCAGCAGAACAACCTTCCTGCTGGGCTGGCAGTGCTTAATTGGTTACTCTAGTTAAGTTTTTTCAGGCGTAGAAAGAAAAAATGAATGCCAGCACTGTGGTCAAGAAAAGAAGTGATCGGCAGGGTACATGGTTACTGTGTGAAATTGAAAAATTTTTCTGAAGAAAAATCTATTCATAAGAATAAACCTATTTGGAAAACAAAGACTTTTGCTACTCTGGTTCTCAGTGTTACTATGTTCAAATTTTAAAGCCCTAAACACTTGAGTTTCTTGAAAGATTTCTTAATGTATAAAATGTCATAAATGTTCTAACTATATAAATGACTAATTTAGTACTACAAAATGTACTTAAAGCATTAGAATTGCTCATAATGTGATTTTTTTTTCCCTGTTTGAAATAGGTACATTGTATGTAACAAATACAGACATGTTCAATTAAAGTTACTTGATTTTTGAAATTAAGATTGAGGGTTTTGGGATTTGCAACTAGACTACCTCCTTGGTAGTTCACTCCAAGTGTATAACTGGTATAAGTTTTTACAATTCTGTTTAAGTGGCACTTTATGTTGAAATCTGGAAATAGATATTTAAAATGTGGTCTTCGTACTTAAGTATTTTTTTCTTCTTTAAAAGAGATAATGATTTTAGGGTAGAAATACCTTTTAAAATAACACTAATGAGAAAAATTTATGACCGATTTCATTACCAGCATCCAGTTAGAGGAGGGCATTGTGTTTATACAGCCGAGATGAGTGAACTCCAGACTGAGTGAGGGGGCAATTCAGGTGATTGCATGCAAGTTCAGTATTTAAACTCCCACTGCAGTCAGCAAAGAGCTGGTTAATGTTGCTGTAGGAAGCTAGAAAACACTGGCTGAGGAGCCACAACTGGACACAGTAAGAAGCTACTTCTCAGTATGACCAAGAGCTCCTTTTGCAGACACTATTGCACAGCTGAGACATCATGAGAAATGGGGAGACCTGCTCATCTGGCAATAGGGAGTCTACCTCTCCATAATATGTCTCTTAGCCACTTAAGCTAGCGGGTAACATATGCCTCTTGGGAGAGAAGGTGGGGATTTGTGACTGCAAATCCTTGTTAAGGATATCTTTATTTAAAAAAAAAACCCAACTGTCTGGTGTAATAATGGAAAAGTTGATCACTCATTTTAATAAGTATGTGGAAGTTGGAATCTTAATTGAACACCTTTCATAAGGTGTTTAAAAGTGTTTCCAGACATAGATTAACAAAACAAAATTTCTGCTCCTGGAACTATGTGTTGGGGAAAAGTGAATAAAAGTTAATCACACATTTTAATAAAATCAATTGAAAGGCATTTTTAGGACTTTCAAAGAGCTTGCTTCTTTTTTTGCTTCACTGCTGCAGTTCTCATACTTTTTTTTATGTAGCTGTGCTGAATTGCACGGTTGAGACAGAGGCAATTGGCTATGGTATTTATAACAAATGGTAAATTGTCTAGAAGCTGTATAAAATTCATCATTCAATTACAGCTTTCTGAGCACACTTTCTCATGTGTGTATTTTATAAAGAAAAATGGTGTATTGCTGCCCTAGTGATCTGTCAGTACAGCGTTTTAATATAGATTCCACCAAGGGAAGCATTAAGGGTTGAAGTGTTGCCATTCTCCAAAAGAATAAGTTTGTAGGGAGCAGTGTCTGATGAAGATCAGGTCATCGTCATGCTGTTTATTTTTGAGACCCATAGGTTAAACATACATAGGTCACCTCTGAAGCTGCGACTCAAGTTGAAGAATCAATAAAGTATCAATAGGTTCTAATCATTGGTATTAATCATTCCCAACTACTTACTTTTCTAGAAGGTATTTGATGATGCTCTTTGAAATATAACATTTATTTGTACTAGCAGAGTGAGACTTGGTCAGTTTATGGCAGTAGCTTTTTCAGCTATGCTATATTGCATATATAAACCCAATAAATAATTCCTCCTTCCCCCAATAAAAAAACCTAAACAAACAAAAATTGCTGTTACTTTTTGTTAACATTCTATAAAAATACCCCAGCATGGGATTTGGCAAATCTCTGCTATTACAAGTGGTGATTCTGGAAGTTGTTTGAAATATGTACTAGGGAGTACAGTGGCCTGCTTTGCAACATGTAGGAATATGGCCAGTCAGCTTACCACCCTCAGATTTAGGAAGTTTTATAGTATATTGATCTGGGTACTGTTTTCAGCTTTGCTTACACAATTTATTTTTTTCTGAGAACCTTTAGTAATTCGCCTATTTTGGTGTTCTAATAGTAAGTTTGTCTTTTTCAGGAAATAAAGCCTCAAAGCCATTACAACCATGGATATAGTGAATCTCTTGGACGGAAAAGCCACATTGATGATTACAGCACTTGGGACATTGTCAAAGCCACACAGTAAGTTTGGTTTGGTGTGTTAGATTTGTCTGTGTTGGTTAAGAGAATCCATTTTACTTTTTCTTAATTTGCATCAAGTGAAAAGCGAACTGTATTTGTAGGTACAGTAGTGGAAGATTTGAGAAGCACGAGTTTATAAGCATTGTATGAAAATATGTGGGAGGAATTATGGTAAGTTGTAAACATAGGTGGTTGCTGGACAGATTGTTGGAAGAGAACATGCAGATGTTTATTTTCTGTAGGTGATGATTAAGAGGTAAGTGGGCAACACTGATAGGCAAACACGAGGGTTTCCCTGATCTGTTGACACCATTAATAGGTTAGAAGGGATGTGTCTATGTAATTTCCTTCACTGTCTCTGATTCTGCAGTTTCAGTGCTGATGTGAAACTGAGTTTCTGCTGTGAAAGGATTGTAGGAGTAAACCGTGTACAAATTTAATAGTTGTGTTCTTAATGCAGACGAATCATATGCATTTGTCTTCTACAGCCCTGTAGTACATACTATCTCACAGGCTTTCTGAGGAATTGTCACGACACTACTGTTTAGCTTGCCATTTTTATCCTTCAGAAACCACCACCACTGCATGTTTCTTCAGTGAGCAAAGATGATAGAAAGTTTTCTAAAATTATTTTTCTTGTATTGTTAATTTAAATGTGTAAACGATTATGTGTCTTGCTGAGCTATTTGCCTTTTCCTTAAAAGAAAATTTTTATTTCCTGTTTTCCTGAGAGTTGTCATCTCCAACTGAAAGCAGCTTTGCAGCTCTGCATGTGAGACAGGCACCATTTAGGTTTAGGAAGAATGTACTTTCCTTCACTTCTTGTTCTGAGGAGTTAAACTGCCTGAAATAGACGTTGACTGACTCTGGGATTGTAGCTTTAAGTAACAGTAATACTGCAACCTATAATCCTTATATTAGGGGATTTTTAGAAATTAAAATAATGGCATAGCATCAAACTAGCTGTTGCTTAAAAATGTGGAAATATGACACCAGAAGTGGTTTTACAAGTTACAGGAATGGAAGCAGGTATGCTCATTGCATGTTTGGAACACCAAAACACTTCTTCCCCCCATCCCACCCTCCGCATCAGCCCTCAAATTCAGGCTGATTTGTGCTTTCAGCTGAGTTGTTACAGTTCTTTTCTGGTCTCATAAAAAAAACCCCAAGATTAAGCAAGGCTGCGAGTTATCCGTTTTGTTCCTTCCTAGTCATGGTGAGATGTGTTTTTCAGAGAGGATGACATCTCACCACAGAGGACTATAGTTTAATATAGCCCTAATGGTTAATACCACAGGGAAGGGGGACTGTCAGCATGGGTATATGATCAAGTTGTAACCAGACAGCTCTTCCCTCATGAGGGAGAACTCACCTTTATTTTAAGTGTTTACTAGGATTTGAAGGCCATGTGTTATAAAAAAGCTGTCTTAAAGGGCAAAATTTCTGAGTTTTAGAGCAGAAAAGAAACCTGCCAATTATCATAAGGCTTGCAATAAAATAATGCTGCAAATATATTAATTCAGTGTTAGTAAAAAGACAGAGTTCCTGTTAAACTGATCTTGTTATTCACTTCTGTAGAAATATAATCCATTTTATATATAAGAAAAATATGTGATCTTATCCTCTACCACTTGTCCTCAAAAATCAATATTCGCTTATATTAAAATATCTGCTGGCTTTGTTTACTTTTTAAGTTCAGTGCTGATGTAAGTAAGATGGCACAGAGTTTTATAAAAAAGGGCTGTTCATCTGTCTCCCAGAACTCCCCTCCCGAAGCAGTTCACTAAGTTCGAGCAGAACGTAGCAACACAGAGTAAGAATTATTTTCAGTCTCTTCGTTTAGGTGTGGTTTGGGTGGTTCCTCCCCCCCAGGTCAGACATGTATATTCAGCATGGGATCAACAGCGCAGTTATTTTTTTCAATAGACTTCAAAACTTCCCCAAGAGAGTATAACAGGTGTTTTAGTGGGATAGTCAGATGGTAGCTGGGTGCTCACTATTAGTTAAGTGAAAGTCTGTTGGTCTCAAGTGGTCTGATAGCTAGTTACAATAATGAAGTTGTGTATCTTCCTCTATTTAAAAAAAAAAGTCAAACTGATCTGTCATCCAAAATGATTTGGCATTTCATGTAAGGACACTTAAATTACAGGCTTCCTGACACATAGAAGGTGCACTTTGCTGTAGCATAGAATTGTTTGCTATTAAATTTGTGATAATCTGAGCTAGAAGCATTTAGTCACGTGACACGAGTAGCTAGTCAGTCATTTCATTTTTTTCGTAATCGTTGTTCTTGCAGTATTTGATGTGCTGCATTATTAAGTTTCTTCTGTGGAAGTAACTAGTTATATTATTGCAACATACATGAGAATGGGCAACTTAAACTTTAAAGATGATGAAAAATAAGATGAAAAGGCTTAAAACTCATCTGTACTTCACATATGCTGTTTGACTGTAGAATTCTGTTTTGAGATGTTTAGTTTATTGGCAGTTAATCACAGAGAAATAAGAGTTTTACTAAAAATAATGCATTTGTTTTTGTGTTCTTCAGCAAGGGAGAATAGGAGCTTGCAAGCTTTGTGCATTTTCCCAGAAGTTATTTGTTCATTGTTTCATATCTTGTTGAACTGTTTGTGTGCTTTGTCTTCCCTAGTCTGTAGACTGAACACTTATTAAATTAACATGCTCATACGCTATGAGCTACAAATCTAATAACCTCTTACAATCATATTAAGACTTTGTATAAAAAAGAGCAGTTCAGCTGGTGTTCTTATTGCAAAGAGTTTCTCGGTATTTGTATTTTTTTCCCATTATGTTCCCTTATAAATTGTCCCACAGATGTATAAAGCATGCCTAGGCCTCCACCAGAAATACTCTTGCTCTCTGTTTATTTTGCAGAAAATTTGTGCTGGAGTAAAAATCATATTTGGCTTTAGTATCTATTGGTATAAAGGACTCTCTTCATTGGCTTTGTTATATGTGTCCAAGGGCATCTAGCTAGCGTTAAAAGAAGTGCTGTCTTAGCCCTTCAACTTGCAGACGTCACAACGTGTGTGCAGTCTCTTGCCATCTTGTATTTGGTTAGAGCAGTATTGTTTAGTTCATGTGAAGTTTCCACTGTGTTTCTGAAAGCAGAAGTAGGCCACTCATATGTGTTTGAAAAATCTGTTTTCAAAGCAGTAGGGGAAAAAAAATGGTGCTTTCTTGCCTTTGCTGTTGCAGTGGAGGAACACTGCATGCTGACACTGAAGTACTTCACCTACAACTGCATAGAAAGTCTTTGAATTTCTTTTGTCTCTACAAAATTGGAGGGTGGGCTGTGTACTGCCTCTGTTGCCGTGATATCATTCAGTGTTCTCACAGGAGCTGCAAGGCAATGGAGTCTTGGAGTCTTGTAAAAAACCAAAAAACAAACAACACCCCTCCCCCCCCCAAACCAACAAACAAACAAAAAAACCCCCACAAAGTCACAAGTGATTTAAAAGTGACATTTAATGGATGTGCGTTTGGTATGTTTATTTCTATTGCTTCTGGCACCAGTAGCTCTGTGTCATCCAAGGCTGGAGTTCTAACTTTGAGTATGATGTCTTGGGAAGGCTGCTGTGTTTAACATAATAACTTAAAGGTGCTGCCTTTGTTTTGTTTGAAATCATTTAAGCCGTGAAACTAAGGAAAAGTGTCTCATGTTCACAGGTAGAGAAGTATATGATGGGTTATGACTAGGAGAGCAAAGTCTGAGACACGGATTCTTACATTGTGATTTTTCGGTTCCGTTGAGAGTGAATAGGCACCTTCTGCTTGTAGTGAGCTTGAGCAGATTCCAGCTATTCTGAAAGGATGTTAAATAGCCGTTATGAACATGGGCATTAAACATTGATATTAGCAAATGCTTTTGTGGCTTCTGGAAGATTGATTTCTTGTGCTCAAGTGTTACGATTTCATTATTGCAAGATTAACTTTTCTGTTAGTTTTATTCACTGAGATCGTTCAGAATGAAGTCGTGTGCATTGTGAAACAGCGCAGCATGAAATATGCTGAGTCTTGCTCAGGAAAAAAAATGGTTACATACATTTGAGAACATGCTTTTTTCTTCACTATTTCTCATCATTCATAGGGTAACTGATCAGAAAAAAATAGGGTATGTATGTAAGAATTCAATTTCATGAATGTTGACCAAAGTGACATTTACTCCTGGCTTTTTTCAGCTACTCACAGGAGAGGGTGAGCAGACTGTGACACAGGTGCACATCCTTTATGCTTGGTCATTTGTGCCTGTGGAGTTTGATTATATTGCTGAAACTGAAATGAAGCTGAAGTTCACATGGAAAGGGCAGGGGATTTTTTTTTTTTAACCACACTAGTAAGGTAGCCACAACTGTGACAATGCAGTGTTCGGAACACATGCAAGAGCTGAATTTCTCTTGTCTCTCAACATCACTGTTAACTCTGAGAGCTGCTTGATGAACCATTATTGCTTTGCTGTTGAAAATAAAACTATCTTGCTGTTTAACACAGAAAACATGAGAATGTGTGAATGGTTTTGTTATTATTTAACCACCGTCATTCATGGGAATGCGTCTTCAAGAGGCAAAAGATCTTTTTTCTTCTAAATGCATTTCCAGTTAAAACAGCTTTGATAGCTAGATGAGGGAGAGAGCGACTGGCTTACCTACTGTTTGTTGGCATGGTGATGTGCTCACTGAAGAGAGATTCCTTCCTAGTGTTGTGGCCAAATTTTCTGTTAATCATGCAGCAGAGCTGGCAGTGTCTATTTCCAAGAGCCGATGTGCTTGCAGACAAAAGATTAAGAAATGGATTACGAATTTAAAATGCAAAAGCCTTCTAGGATGCTGTTTTTGAAAGTATTAAATTCAGAATATCTTTAACCTACAATGACAAATAGAATGTAACAGGTTAGTTATAGAAATGGTTTAGAGACTGTGATAGTGAAATGAGCTTGCACAAGGGTATTTTTGTCCTGGAAGAACTAATCCCATTTCTTTCAGACAAGGCAAGCTCAAAAGTATGCTTCCATTATATTCCATGTTGATGTTCATGCATCACCCTCTAGAATTCACCCAGATGCTGGAAATTTGTTTGGTTAATACACCAGTCTCTTGTGAGGATTTGAATCTTTTCCCCCATTCCTCTCTCTTGAAGGGCAAAGAGCCCTTTGTAACAACATTATAAGCATGATTATGCTGAGTGTCTGAAATGGATGACTTTCTCATTTTGTAATCTAACAGTGTGTCGTGAACCTTTGGAGGAGGCAGGGTGAAGTCAGCTGCAGCAAATTGATGACTGTAGGTAGTATGTGAGAGAGGAGTGCTGCATTCCTAGGACAGAGCTTAAGAAACCACGACGGCATCAGGTTCAGTGTGTTAGTGTAGAGAGCCTGCTGTTTCCAGGAAGAGGAGCAAATCATTGTAAATTCCTAACCTTTTTTGCCAGGCAGGTTTTGTCTGTCTAGATACTTAAGTGCTCTTGTGAGAATTTAATAAATTGAAGAGTTATTGAATTATACTTTGTGTGTTACACCTTTTGTAATCAGTTATGATTGAGTTCAAGATACCTAAATAAATTGCTAGGAACAGACAAACTGATGGTGTCTGAAATAAAAAATTGCTATATACCTCATTATAACTTTTGGAAAAACTCTTGTTTGGATCTTCTGATGTGTTGCAGAGCTTCATGATTTATTTTGCAGCCAAGCTGTAGGAAGTACCTGTGACTTAGAGTTCACTTTCTGATGGGAGGTGGGGAAGTCTATGATGCTAATCCTGGAGAAGGAATCCATTCCTACTACTCCTTGTTGTATCTGAACCCATGCAGCACTCTGTGCCTAGGCCCCACAGCAGCCCATGGGTGAATTCTGGAGTGTGGTGTTTGTAAACATCAGTGGAGCATAATTAGAGTATCCTCTTGGGGCTTCTGCAGGGGCACTGGCAACAGCATACTGCCTCAACAGACTGCAGAGTCGACTCGCGTGCTTGCCACAGCTCTTCTTTATTTTCATATCTCTTGAGCAAAGTTCTTTGGGAAGCAGCATCACATTTTCTGTAAGACTAGAGATTTACTTTAAATAAAATATGTCCCCCAAAGAACAAACCCCTCCCTCCCCCATCTCCCCAAAGACTGTAACAGTGCTGGTTGGTTATACCTATCTTGGACTCTTGGTCTAACAAAAACTTGACTAGGTATTGGAGGTTACTTTCAAGGAGGGTTGTGTTGTTAACTTTACAGGACATTCACCTAAATCATTTGTAGGGTGTGCCATAGCTGACCAATAGCAATGTTGTGGGGTAACCCCGGTAGGCAGGTTAGCCCCATGTAGCCACTTGCTCACTGCTGCCCAATGGGATGGGAAAATGCATCAGAAGGGTAAAAGTGGGAACTCTTTTTGGGTCGAGATGAAGACAGTTTTATAGGGGGGCAGGGAAAAAAGCTACACAAGCAAAGCAAAACAAGGATTTCATTCACTACTTCCCCTTGGCACACAGGTGTTCAGCCATATCCAGAATGGCGAGGCTCCATCACATGTAACAGTTAATTGGGAAGGCAAACGCGATGCCTCTAAATGTCACCCTCTCTCCTCCTTCCCTCCAGATTTTATTGCTAAGCACAGTGCCACATGAAATGGGATATCCCTTTTATGGGATAACCAGTTGGGCTCGGCTGTCCTGGCTGTGCACCCCCAGCCTTCTCAGTGGTGGGACACTGTGAGAAACAGGAAGGGCCTTGACCTTGTGTAAGCCCTGCTCAGAAATAGCTAAAACATGGGTGTGTTATTAACACCATTTTGCTCGCAAATCCGAAACCCAGCCGCATAGGAACTACTAAGTAGAAAGTTATCTTCGTCCCATCCAAAACCATTATATGTAAGGGAAATCCTAATCCATTGCATGAAAGATTTACATGATTGTGTCTTACACTTTATAGAAGTTAGCATTATTTTGTTCTCTGGATCTTTCCAATAACTTAGGAATTATATTAATACTCTACTTGTTTTGTAGTACTACTTATTTAAGCAGGGCAAGAATCAGCTAAACTCAGCCTTAGGTAGTACTGTGAAATTTTTTTAGCTGGTGACTGTTAAATGCAATAGCGGGGGTTTAGGTCAATAATTTCTTAGGTTTTCTGTCTTGCTTTCAGAAGTCCTCCTTTCTTCCATCTCGACTACTGTCTCTTCTCACTCCTTGTTCTTGGCTGACTTGCCTTTAGTAGTTCTAACCTGTTTCAGCAGCCCTTTCAGCTGGGGAGCAGGGTGAGAAGTTAGGAATGGTACAGGTCAAGCCATTCTAATAGGTACTCGTGAGGCCACCTTGCTGATCTAGTCTGGAACTTGGGACATAGGTTTAAATCTGGCCAATCTTGAGGCATATTATCAGTCTTCCTGCCAGTGTCTCAAATCTGTGTTTGAGTATGTGCATCTTGTCTAGCTGCTTGCATATTATTAAGTCTTAGAATCACAGAATGGTTTAAGGTCCTTTCCAAACTGTTTTGTGATAGGCTTGGAAAGCATTCCTGAGATTTGTTAACTTGAGTCATTTGAAGTTTCAGTATGGGAGCTGTCCAGACTGAGGATCCATTCAAATGCGTGAAAGAAGAAGAGTGATAACTGCCCTGGGAAACAGCTCCCTGCATCAGTTACACAAGCTGAGCAAGTGAAGCAAAAGGACCTTAAGTTGTCTAAGGCTGTCTGTTCTGCAGAAAGTAGAACACAGAAGCAGCATAAGGAAAACATGCTTAAATTCCAACTTTGAGAGGCTGTTAAAATTCCACTGTAGCAGAAGTTGGATGTCACAAGACATTGATCTTGATTTCAAGGTGTGCCCACCCATCAGTCTCCTGCTTGAGCCTTGAGAAATCCTTCTGGGTTGTACAATGATGAAATGTAATCTTTACTCGCCTTTCTACATTGCTTTTGTTCCCACTAAAAATAGGTGGTAAAACAGTGTAAGCATCAAGACAAACATCATTTAATGTTGGAGTTAGTCCTACATTAGATGCCTACGTGATGTTTATGCTGCCTGATTTGTTTCAACTTTCAAAATGTATGCAGAATTTTTTGTTCAGATGATGGTAGCTCACTTTTAATAGTCATCTTTAATGAAAAAATTATTTTCATATTGAAGCGTGGAGTTTTGAAGTGGTATACAAAAGAAAACAGGGCTAACTAATATCAGGAAGGTTGCTGTTTGCTATCTGAGAAGAAAAATGGGAAGTGTTTGAGTTCTGTCAGTGTTTGTAATTGACCTGATGGTCTTGTCATCTGCTGAATTTTAGGAAGATACTGTCAAATCAGTTGGCTAAGCTCTTTTGGTCTCCGAGAGATGGAAAGGAAGGACAACAGCAGTGGGCGAAAGAGGTGTAGAGGAGTCCTTGGGGAGAGTTTTATTTATATTTGGTACACTACTGATCGATGTTTCACTCTGCTGTATAGTTTGCTGGGGAGACAAGTTTTCTGTAAAATCATGAATTGATTAACATAACTTCTGCCAGTGGAAGCTTCTGGTTGCAAGAGATCTGTAATCATACAGAAACAGAAAGTAAAGTTTTTTCATTTCTCTTCTGTTGAAGCTTTAGTATCGTGATTGTAAGGTGTTTCCCAAGTGCATTTTTATCGAAGGTAACCGCTTTGAAAAATCTTGTTTTCTTCTTCAAGGTATGGAATATACGAACGATGTAGAGAGTTGGTGGAAGCGGGTTATGATGTACGACAACCAGACAAAGAAAATGTAACGCTTCTCCACTGGGCCGCAATCAACAACAGGATAGATCTGGTGAAGTATGTATTATGCTTTAAGTCAAACATAAACTAATCATGTCCCTTAAAAATGTTGTTTTCTTTTTTTTGAGGTGTTAAATAGTCTTAAGTCTTTTACAGTCTCAATTTTTGGTCTTGAAATTTGGGGGAGGAGGGAAAGTTTTGGCGCCAATGTTTCGATGGCACACTTAACAGAAATAACACCTGTTATGTGTCCAGAAGACCAGCTCAGACTCTTCTCAGATGAGATAACCTTGTGGAACAGCTATTCAGCTGCACATGCAGTTTCCTTATACTATGGTATACTTATTGAAATACCAAGTTTCTTTTTTGAAGAGGGGAAGTTTGATGCTAGATGCTAGTGAACATTTTTTGAATAAGGAAGATTAATAGTTGCAAAGGGCAATTCCTACTTCATTGAGCATTTCAAGAAGTTCTGACTTTATAAATAAATTCTTTGCATTTTAGAAACACACAAAAGGTAATATTGCAGCACCTCTCCTTTCAAGGAATAACAAAATCTTTAATAGTGGGAGCTGTGGGATTTGGGGCATTTTTTTGCTTTTCAATTTATAAAATCTGAAGCATAATATTTGAGACTATGTTTTAAAGCCTATTATTATCTCTTGGAACATGGAGATCTTAAATCCTGAATGGATAATTCTTAGTAATTGCTGTTCTACAGTCATGAGTGTCTATAGAACATGGTTTTTTTTTTTTCTCTACCAGTAACAAAATAATAAATTAAGTACATGAAGTTAAATCTAAATACACAAAATATTGAATCAGCAGGTGTCTAGAATATCTGACATAAACTACACATCTTCAGTCAGTCCACTTTCAAATCACTTCTTAGTAGTGAATGTGTGCTTACACATAAAAACAATCTCAAAACATCTTTATTTAAGCATGTTCTCCCCATCTGTGTCTGTCACCAGCACCTTCATCAGACCACATGTTTTGTTTCTAGAAGATCTCAAGTTCATGTTTCCCATCTTGTTTTTAAAGGACTTTGTGTCCTGATACAGTTTTCTTAGAAGAAGGTTTAGATAGATAAAGATTTAGGTCTGACAAGAAGGACCTGGTGGACAGGAAGCTGACTGTGAACCAGCTGTGCGTCCTTGCGGCAAACAAAGATCAGTGATGTGCTGGCCTCGTTAAGAAAAACATTGCCAGCATATTGAGGGAGGTGATCCTTCGTCTCTACTCAACAACTGAAGCTGGACATCTGTGTGAAGTCGTGGGTTCCCCTTTGCAAGAAAGATAACGGACTTACTGGTGTGAGTTCAGTGCAGGGTCACAAAGATGGTTAAGGGGCTGGAACATCTGACCTGAGGAGAAGGCTGCAAGAGTTTTGACTTCTTAGCCTAGAGAAGAGAAGGCTTATCTTGTCAATGTATGTAAGAACCTCAAGGAGGATCTTATCCATGTACATGAGTACCTGAGATACTTGGTAATATAATACCTGGTAATACACAATACCTGGAATCTTATCAATGTATATAAATATCTGATGGGAGGGAGTGAAGGAGACAGAGCCAGGTTTTTCTCAGGAGTGCCCAGGGGCAAGACAAGAGGCAGAGGGCAAAAATTGGAATGTGTGAAATTCCATGTAAACATCAGGAAGCAGGATTTTACTATGTGGGTGACTGAGCACTGCCACTGGTTGCCCAGAGAAGTTGTGAAGTCGTCATCCTTGGAGATACTCAAAACCCAACTGGACATGGTCCCAGGCGACGTTTTTCTATATGCATTGATCAGGGATGGTTAGACTAGATGATTTCCCAAGGTCCCTTCCAAACTAAATGATTCTGTGAAGTAATTACATGTTTCTGAAAGATTTTTTTATTATTATTATTTCTTTTACGCAGCAGATAACAGGTTTTATGTCTTCATTGTGGGTAGAAGCTTATTGTGGAAACTGTAATTCTGCATTTGGCATCTTCCTTTCATTGTAAGATGGGTAACCAATGTGCTTTCTGGCATGCTGAAAGAGAGCCTCTTTCAAAAGTCATGCAGGACCCTGGTTTACCTAAATAACCTTTTCGTTGAGAGTGTATTTTAGACCCTATTGTTTTCTGCCTTTTCATTCCATTTTCCTTCTGGATTGTCCTGGGTCTTTAGGGCTAGCATCTTACAACTTGCTGTGAAATAACTAAAATGCATAACATTTTTCAGGTAGCTGGTTTCCTTTATATAATATATATTTATATATATTTTTTGAGCTCACTTTTTTATCCATCTTTATGCATAATGAGTTATTTGCAATGAATTGTTCATCTTATTTGAGCAGTTGGAAGATGTATTTGTATTACAGATATTCCACCTCAATTGATATGACTCTGTAAGGTCTGAAAAGTGAATGGTATTGGGCCAACTATCATAACTGAAAAACATCACTATGTCACGAGGCATTTGAAAAAATAGGCCTATATTGTAGTTGATCTTTCTGTATTAATTTATGTATAATTTTTTTATTAGCTTCACAGTGCAGTGCACCTGCCTGTAGGATACTTGATTATGACTATCAAGTCATTGACAATGACTTGATTATGACAACTTAAAAAGAAATAAACCAACCAACCAAAAAAAACCTCACAAGAACCACAAAGCCAGCAAAACCAAACCCAAAACAAACAAAACAACCCTGGCCAAATAAAACTGCTTGGGAACTTTCTGTCATTCACAGAGTAAAATAGGACCAAATTTTAAATTCCCCACTAGTCTTCTTTTGAAAGTAAATTTTTGAAATAATTATGTTAGCATGCGATTTATTTTTTACCTTTTCCCCTCTCCCGCTCCAAGTGTGTTGATAACAATTTCCTGCCATGGCAATTATATTGAGCTGATGGGTGGTTCAAAATCAAAATGTCAGATTGAGGTAGATGAAAGTCTGTGCTTAAACCTCGATCTGAATTTCCAGTTAGGTCTTTTTTATATCTTAGGGAGATCTCTTCACCTACATTTGAGTGCAAAACTTGTTCTGAGAATATTAGTTCAGCAAAACTTTAACTGTACCAGCCATATCTCTTTCAAGTTATTTTAATGGGAGCCCTGACAAATGCATATTCTTAAATGTGATGTGTCTAATTCTTCCTTTTTCCTCATCAATATGTCAAAGCTCTTGTTTCTGCTTGATGCGTCTCAGTGGCATACTGCATTGCATCTTCTTCCTGCTGTGTGCTGGAGTGCACGTCACTGCTGCTGTGTTTAACTGTGTCTGAAATTCATTCCTCCTGCTACAGTTCCTACACTCCAAGTTCCTCTGTCTTTAGGAGGTCTTGATTTACTTCAGTTTCTATCGCCCAGCATGTTGTACTCTCTCTTACTCTTTTGTGACACACTGGTTTATTCTGTTTCCTTGGAATGAAATTATTCTATGGTTTGCTTTTTGTTTGATCCTATCACATCTTTCCCAAGTCTCTGCTATTTGTGCCCATTGTGTGCAATGTCTAATTTCATTAAATATGTTGGCTAGCGAGCTTGGTATCACAGAGACAGAGTCTATTTAGTGTAAGTGGTCGCAAGATACCACATCTTAGCATATTGCTTGCTGGGTATTGACTGTATAACATCTTCCCAATGAAGTAGCTTACCAGTTTGTGGACAGTGCAGGCTTAGAGTTAGAATTCTCTTACTTACAGTATTTCCTCATCCTGTCTATTGTGAGACAGGCAATTCGGCATAAGTAACAGTGAAACCCATATATATTATATAAGGAAAATTACAGAACCTTTTCTTTTTTCTGTAGGATCAGGGATAAGTGTTAGGCATCCACAGTGTAATTTTTTCATCGTGACACTGATCTATTGGTCTCTCTTCACCACAATTTTGTAAATATACAAAAATTGGCGTTATAACTCTGCAGTTATCTACTGCCTGTAGTTCCTCCAGACAAGGATTTTCCTTCTGCTTTTCCTCCTTCTAGAAACAGTGACTGTGTGCACTTGATTCCACAAGCACTGAATGCAAGCTGGGGCGTTTTTCAAATGCCTGGCAAAGACTTAGGGATCCTAACATGGAGATCAGTGGAAGTGCCTCCTTAAGGCAACCTCTTACCAGATCTGCTTGCTTTGAATGTAAGTAGGTTGCTCGAATAAGACTTGCACGCCTGACATCTTCTAACATGGAAGCTTAGATGACTCACTGAGAATAGAATCATCCAGTTCCCCCTTTCACCAGGAAGCACAGAATTCCTTCTGCAGGATCTACCTAGACAAGGAGACGAAGTACTCCGTCTGATTTTATAGAAAAATCTCACCATTTATGTGTACCAAAACTGAAATGTGGTGATAAATCTCAGTTTAGTCTTAGAACACCCGTAAGGAAATATAACATTTTATTTGAATGCACCATCTGGTAGGAGCTCGCCGCCTTGTCTTTTCCTGGTTGTCAAACTGCAAGTTCTTCCTTCTAAATAAAATGTACTCACCAGAAAGCAGTGCTGCTGCTCTGCAGAATCTCGACATATTCTGCGGGGACCAGTGTTTGAACGAAGACAATCTGTTTAACGTTCACCTCCCCGTGAGTGGCTGTCACATCAGTGAGATGGATCCAAGCTCTGACTGTGAATTTCTCTGTGCTGTCTTTTATCTAGCAAAAATTTCCATTTCCTTGGGAACTCCTTCCCAAGGGGGAAATAAATAGATTCTCACTGTATTTTTCAAATTTCTTCTTCGGTAGCTGATACTTCACCGTAACAGAATTGTGTTGTCCCTTTACCTTATATACGCCTTGACTTCTCAACTGTGTGGGACCGAGACTTTCACAAAACCTTTGGTTGTTCACACTGAGAAATCCAAAAGCTTAACTTCAGCAGAGAGATATTGCAATTTTGTTCCTTGGTGTTGGAGACCAGCGGGGTGGACTGTCCTGCATCGATCAGAGCAGATCTTGTTTGTCACACAAACTTGAGTTTGTATGACTTCGGCAAGTCTGCTGAGGTAATTCATTGTGTCTGGTGGCTCTAAAGCAACTGTATAAAAGGACTTTTCCTTTGGATGTTTTTATTGTGGATATGTACAGCTAATACGTTTTTCAGTTTCTGTTCCTCAAGGTAACTTTTGAGCTGTTTTTGAAGTTTCACTCTCTGAATCAATAAGCACTAAAGAAAAAGAAGGGAGTTACTTAATGTTTTCCAAATTGTTCTGTTTGTTGCCCTTTATCTTGTTGTGTCTTGAAACATTTAAAGGAAATGGAGGTGCCAGAAACTGAATGCTGAGGATTTGAAGGACAGTTTGTGTGGACATTCACGTATACCTGACAGGTATTTTGCAAGCAAAGTCAGCAGGCACAGGTTGCTTGAATTGTCCAAGGACTTAGGAATCTATGGCTGGACAGTCCTTTTCAAAGGTCTCTTAGTAACAGCTTTTATTCCTTTGACTCACACAGTAGTGAATGAAGAACTAGAAGCCTTCTGGGAAGGCCTGTTTTTTAAAAACTTTACTTTCTTTGTAAGGTGTGCATTTCCTTTCACAAAGGGAAAGTAATATTGCCAGTCTTGTGTAAAACAACAATGAAAACAGTTCACAGAAACAGTACAAATGACTACAACTATGACCTGCTGCAGTTAAATATGGGTAACTCGTTTAGTTCCTGCAGATAGCTCATCTTTTTATAAATATTCTTGAGGGGAAAAATAATTTCTAGCCCATCATTTAGGTGTTTTTTAAATACTCAGATGCATTTGTCCTTTGATTAATAATGATTGAGAAGTATATAAAAAAACCTTAGTACGTGTGTGGATGCATAACTTAAGCTTGAGCTCGTGGAACAATGACTTCAGCAGGGCCATTCCAGTGATGACATGTACTGCAAGTTGAATCGTATGTAATTTTGCCATTTAGCCAAAATTCTCTAAATATGCTAGTCTTCTAGCAGTATATTCTTTTAACATTAACTCAGAATTCTTTTTAACCCCTAAGTATTTTAGAAGAATGCATTCTATTAAATACTTCTGTGGTAGTACAGTTTGTACTAATGTGTATAGCAATTGTTCTGTCTTACCTTAGAACCAAACTGGGAAATAGCAGCATTTTTAAAACACAGTAGGAAGCATCCCTTCTCTCCCATCCCACACCAAAAAGGCAGAAAATCTAATGTATGTGCATGACCTCTAAAAAGGAAAGTTATATGGATGCAAGGAACAGTTCTGGTCTTCTGCTAGTTTTGCATCACATCAGACGTGCTTACTTATACGTCCTTAATGTTTAACCGAGACAAGTAATAATGTTGACTACTGTTTTTCCAGATACTACATATCAAAAGGTGCTATCGTTGATCAGCTTGGAGGAGATTTAAATTCTACCCCACTTCACTGGGCAACAAGGTGGGAAAATTGTGTTTTTGTTTAACTTTGAATCTATTACCTATTGATTTATGAAATTGCTATATGTTATGGGAATAACATACTCCACAAAAATCAATTCAGTTGTTGATAACTGGGCACACTGTCAGTGTGGTATGTTTGAGCTACAGGAGCTTTCAGCTTATTCAGTTTTTTGTCTTACCTCTTTCTGATGTAGAGGAAGATGATTGCTATGATAGGAACAGGAGTAAAGTAAAACTAGGGTCTAGAGTCACCTTGGTTTACTCTGACTTTGGAGATCTTATTTTTGTCAGTCTTCTGAAGTTCAGCAACACTTTTGTGGATGGGGCTTGGAATGGTTCTGTGTGATACTGCCCTTGCAGTGTGTGGATTTTTTTTAAAATGCACTTAAAATCAGATTTATGATGTAGAAGGTGATCTGAGAATTACGTATGGCTGGGAGAATTGAAGACAGCCTTCGAGTAATAGCTGCCCCTTCAGACAACCACCTAGAAAAAGGTGGGAAAGGAACACTGTCCATATTAGTATTTTTAGATGTAGACTACAAAAGGAGACTTAGAAAATTAGCTTTTAGAACATTTAAAGTATCAATCATTTGTTAACTAAAGATGAGCACCTGCTTGTTAGCCTCTGTTAAAGATTTTAGCTTGTGTATTTCTTTTTGTTACAGATCATACTCAAGTTCTGTGTTGATAGCACAAGAGCTTGACTAAATTTCCTGGTCTTCATAGCTGTAATCTGTTCTGTTAAGCATTGTCCAAAGCTGCTTCTGACAGACTGAAAAGGTCTCTTGGCCCATGTCAGAAACTGTGTACTGACAGATAGGCACCATTTCTACAAGAAGGATATGCCTGTCCTCATTATGCCAAAAAGATGTGTAAGCTTTTAATGTCGTGTAGAGGAAGTGTAGGCCTTCAGTTTTCCTTTTTTCTTCCTATTTTTATTTCACTACTGTTTCTAATAGTAGAGAGAGAAACCATATGCCCCACAAAAAGTGAGAGTATGGTAGCCAGTTTGAGATCTCTTAAAATAGCAGCTTTCATATGTGGATTGGAAGAAGTCACAGTAGACTAGATTTCCAAACTGGTAACTTGGGGTTGTTTTGTTGACTGACTTCTTACTGTACAACACGTTTAGGTGAATTGCAAGTGATGAATGCATTTGCTGCATAGAATTTGCTCATGTGAATGAGTTTGCTTACTCAGTTGCAGAATAAGATCATGACAATTGTTTTCAAAGTATGAGTCAAAGTGCAGAAGCTCTGGTAGTGTAATTAACTGCTAAAGATACTTGTATTCAAATTTCAATATTTTTTCTGTATATAGTTATTCAGTTGTTTGCTTTTTCTGTTTTGTTACATTTAGACAGGGTCACTTATCCATGGTTGTACAGCTGATGAAATACGGGGCAGATCCGTCGCTAATTGATGGAGAAGGGTGTAGCTGTATTCATCTGGCTGCCCAGTTTGGACATACTTCGATTGTTGCTTACCTGATAGCAAAGGGACAGGTAAATCTTAAGTACTATCATATTTAAATAGATTCTATGTGAAATTAGTGTAGGAAAACAATTAGAACCTATACCTATCATATTTGCCTGACTAAACATTAAAATAATTCAATATCTTTTATTGTAGACTACTCTACTGATGTGCCACCTGCTAACTGAACTTCCTCTACCAGTGGTCTGACTACTTTGGCTTTAATTTATATCTGTCTAGTGTAGTACATGGAAACTTTAGCAGTTATTCTTTTACCATTCTTTATTTCTAATGAGTTTAATCTTTAAATGTTAACGGTGACCATGATAGCAAGATTTTAGAATTCTTCACAGAATCATCAGGTTATGCACAGGTAAAGAATCTAATGTCAAAGAGTTGTCATAGGTAATCTCTTTTTTTTTTACACTTCTGTCCACAAATTTTACTTGTTGCTGTTACTAATTACATGTGTGTGTAAAGTAAAAAAAGAACAACCCAAAACCTTCTTGCTAGCCTCTTACATTAGTGCTAGATCTGTAAAGTGTGTATATAGCATGTGTATTCATTACTGTTCTCGTTATCTCCCTTCATTTTGAATGCTCAAAAACATGTTCACCTTTTTGCTACTCACCCAGCATTGTAATTCGTAGATTTACTCACACACAGTTATGTGCCTGAAGCAGAAATTTGATTTACTTTGTAAGCCATATGGAAAAGTTAAAGCTCTCCTCTCATTTTATGGTCTTGCTAATGCTGTTCACACTTCTGTATTCTGCTTATTCTTTCAGATAGCAAGTGAGATATGATCCAGTGAGTCAGGTAGAATATGAGTATGAAATTAGTGGGTTTGGTCTATGTAAAAGAAATACTAAATTTGCTGCAGAAAATGATTTGTGCCCATGCATGTAAAAAAAAAAAAAACTATTGCTCCATTGCAGTGTTCAGTTTGTATCTGAGAAATGTTTGGTAAAACAGTATTTAGCGTATGACAGAGAGTAAGCTAGTCACAAGAAGAGGCTGATCATATATAATCACTGTTTTCTAAGAGATAATGATTGGAGAGAAATGCATTTTCATCAGGAACAAGTTTTGTATTTTGTTCGCAAATTGTATATAATTGTATGTGGGTTTTATGTTACCAGAAAAGTCTTGCAGATGTTATACAAGTGCAAACTTGTTTAAAGCATAACATTAATGAAGTATAAATGGCTTTTGAAGTGTTCTACTGTGATTATGAAATCTCCCTGTAAATATTTGTTTGTCCTCATGTTTATATACAGGCTTGTCCTGTTTGTCTGAGCATGTAATACTTAAGTCACAGAATCATATCACAGAATGGTTTGG